ATCAGCAATGAAGATTAATTTTTAAAAAAGTAATTTGGAGACATTATGTCCCTTTATGCTTAAATATTTCATTATATATTTATTGATTTCAGAGAGGAAGGGAGAAGGAGAGATAGAAACATCAATGATGAGAGAGAATCACTGATCAGCTGCCTCCTGCACACCCCGTACAGGGGGTCGAGCCCGCAACTCAGACATGTGCCGTGACTGGAAATTAAACAGTGACCTCCTGGTTCATGGGTCAATTCTCAACCACCGAGCCACACAGCCTAAGCAAGCCAACTATTTTTAGCATATCTGTCAATTTAGGTTCATCGGATTTTGGAAAGAATACCACAGATGCAATGCTGTGTCTTTCTCAGTGAATTGGATCAGGAGGCATATGATACTGATTTGTCCCAATATTACTAAATTGAATTTCGATCTACTGTAAGAGGGCTTTCTCGCCCTAGCTGGTTTGACTCAGTGGATAGAGCATCGGCCTGTGGACTGAAGCATCCCAGGTTCAATTCCAGTCAAGGGCACATGCCTAGGTTGCAGGCTTGACCCCCTTTCCCAGAAGGGGTGTGCAGGAGGCAGCCGATCAATGACTCTCTCACATCTTTGATATTTCTCTCTCTCTCCCTCTCCCTTCCTCTCTGAAATCAATAAAAATATATTAAAAAATAAAGTATCATCAGTTCTAATATTTCTTTTAAAAAGGCTTTCTCTTGTCTCAAATTTATTTATTTATTTACTTACTTACTGATATTAGTACAAACTTATGGAATTTTATTTTGTTCCATAATCTGTTACTATTTTATTTTAATATTCAAATTGCCCCAGATTTGGCTCACAAGAGCTGATTCAACCTGGCCACTGTAGCCTTTGAAATGTTTCTATCATTCTTTGAGCACTTCCTTACTTCCTGGCACAATATATTCCATACTCACTTGTGCTTTCAATGTCCTAACTCTGGAATCAGTCTTTTTGTAGAGACCAAGATCTGGGTACCAAGTATGTTTGCTGCTAATATGTTATTGCTTCTAGGCACTATCAAAGGACAAAATTAGCACACACATACACAGGTACATCCTTGCATGTACACACTCACACAGACACACAAGGGTACACAAACTCATGTACACATATGTGTACACATACACACTAATTACATACTAATATCTCCAACCTCAATTCTAGTTCAACACCATAGGGTACATTCTACTCATCCCTTTCCCCTTTCCATAGTTGTAATTTCTTCCTCCAAAACCTGGACTAAGTGTTTTTTTCATGGACGATAACTAGTTCCTACAAATTTTTCAAGAAGAAAAGGAGAGATGACAGTGACTTTATACCTTTGCCCCCAGATTTAACAGCGCAGATGGGCTTGGGAGGAAAATCTACAGAAGCTTCAAACAATCACTATTTTTTACTCATTATCTAGCCCAGCTTGTTTTCCCTTTTATTATTATTTTTTTAATCCTCACCTGAGGATATGTTTTTCACTGATTCTAGAGAGAGAGTAAGGGAAAATGAAAGGAAGAGGTAAAGAGACACATGGATGTGAAAGAGAAGCATGGATATGAGAGAGAAACATCAATTGTTTGCCTCCCATATACGCCCTGACCAGGAATCATATGTGCCCAGACCAGGGACCACACCTGCAACTTGGGTATGTGCCCTGACTGGGAATTGAACCTGAGACCCTTTGGTGCACGGGAGGATGGTGTAACCAACCGAGCTACACTGGCCAGGGAGGAAGGGAGGGAGAGAGAGAGAGAGAGAGAGAGAGAGAGAAAGAGAGAGAGAGAGAAACATTGATTGGTTGCCTCCCATATGGTCCGGGACTGAACCCATAACCTGCACATGTGCCTTGACCAGGAATCAAACTGGTGACCTTTCAGTGCATGAGACAACACTCCACTAATTGATCCATATGAGCCAGGGCATCCCTTCATTTTATTTTTGTGGCACCTATATTGACAGATGCTGAGAAGATCTTCAGGATAAGCCTGGAGCTGGTCTAATGGCTGCTGGATATACTGTTCGTTCTCATAGCTGAGCTTAGGAATGTGCCAGGATCAGGCAATTCTGGTCTGAAAGTCTGATGATTTCAGCTCCCTCATAGAACTGTGGACAGCCTAATTCCCAAATGGATGAGGTGAGCTTGGCCACCTATCCAGCTTAAACTGTGTACTAGGCCTGGAGGGGGACAGATTGTGGAAAATTTGATCAGCTTCCACAGCTCTGAATGTGAGGATGCTGAATTCTGGAACACAAATCTCCATCCACCCTGGACAAAGTCTCTGATCTCTAGCTGAGTGTTCAGGTGATGCTGATTTCTTTCTATATCCTTCAAATAAGCCACGCCCATTTGATTTATCCCAATAGAATCTGTGCCTGCTTTCCAGCAACCTGAGCCTTCTATTGGTCAAGCAGGATCTGGGTCAGCTTTGACTAAATAGCAGCTTTCTCCTTCCTGCTCACCTGCTTTCTGTGGATTGGCCCGCCTCATCTGTGATTCTAACTGCCACCATATTCAGTCTCCCCCTCAGACTACCCTCCTTAGTAGAAAGATTACTTCTCTCGGTTCTCTTGGATGAGTCCTAACCTTCTTGCTTGCTGATGTCCCAGCTGCTCAGAGAGACTTATTCAGGGTTCCACACTGGAACCAAAAAGCCAGCTGAAGGAAGCCCACTGAAAGATTTCTATGCTTTCCCGCTAACTTGGTAGATTACCTTGGTTTCTGCCCTTTGCCAGCACTTCAGCCAATGACCTTTTCAGTAATGGGGATGGGGGGAAGGGGGGCGCAGCAATACTTTCTCAACACGTCCATACAAGCTCCAGGACAATGGAAAATGCTGCAGAAGAATTTCCATGCCTGGGACTTTCCTTCCAACGCAGCCCACTCTAAGCCACCTCCTCCACTGCCTCAGGCAAAGCTTGGCCTCAGAAACTAGTTCTTGCTCATCTCCTCTGCATGCAAGAAAACCTTAAGTGTATTGAATTAATAGGAAAAAGCACATAAAAATCATACAATTGTGTCAGATAGGTAGATTTATGGGGGTGATCACTTCCTGTTATCTAAATGTCTAATCACTATGCTATACATCTGATACTAAATTAATAGTGTATGTCAACTACAATTGATTGAAAAATAAAATTTTAAAAAGATCATACAGTGTTTCAAGTGGCTAAAGAAAAATTTTGCTTTTAACCTTTTCTGCAATAGACTCTTTCTGGCATTGGACAGGACCTCATCTTAAGGATAAGCCAGCAATATTATTTTGGAACAAACATGGTAGAACAATACATTGGCTGGTCCTCACCTTTAAAAAAAAATTTAAAAAAATTTTTTCTTTATTAAGTTAAGAAAATATTTTTATTGATTTTTGAGAGAAAGAGTAAGGGAGAGGGAGAGAGAAACATCATTGTGACAGTGAAACATCGACTGGCTGCCTCCTGAACACCCCTATTGGGGATCAATCCTGCAACCCAGGCATGTGCCCAGACCAGGAATAAAACTGGCAACCTTTCCATGCATGTGATGATGCCCAGGCACTTGAGCTATACTGGCCAGGGCTTATTCTCATCTTTTAATTAGTAAAGACCCTTTTGGGGTTTCTTTATAGAACCCGAATCTACAAAATTGGTGCCAAAGAGGATACTGTTATCAAGGATTTAGAAATAGATTCTTTCCTGAGATCTGCAGCATTTTACATTAGGTACATGATAAATAATGCCAATTTCACAGTTTTTCCCAGTGAAAGAAAAAGTTATTTTTCATTTTTTGCAAGTTTTGTTGTTACATAATGTAGAAAAAAAGTAAAGTACTCCTACAACTCATTAAACATGTTTAACGTTTATGCTGCATGCTTTTATATAGGAATTTTTCTAACAATGCAAAAATATCAACAGGCCATAAATAATTAACAATAACAAAAAGTCAGTAATAAATATGGCATCCTCAAAATGAAAATGGCCAACATTTCAGTCCTTTATTCTCTTCTTGGGCCAATATCCTTAGATATCAACTTATGAAACTCCTCATTTCCACAGAACAGAATGAGAGCCACATTGCCAGGGTTTTTAGCTTACATGTTGGAATCAATGTTTAATTCCAGCTGTTACAAAAGTAGAGCCACCTGGGGAAATTCATCTTGCCTCTGGTTTCTTCCAAAAAAGTGAGAAGAATTAGATAAGCCGGTTATACATGTAGAAATTAAATAAATAGAACTCTTATATTAGAAGGCCAGACTTAAGCGTGGTGTTGAGGAAGAAATTTTATACATTCATTCTTTGAATAAGTATTTCTTGAGCACCTATTCTTGCCAGGTACTGTACTATGGAATACAATGTTGGGCAAAACAGATGTGACCCCTACCCTCTATAACTTACAGTGCAGATGGTGAGACATACAATTCATTACATCACCTCAACATCTTAAATACAACTATCCAGGGAAAGAACAGAGAACTCCGGGGCCTGACTGGGGGGTGAGGGAATACTTTCCTGAGGAAGGATGACAGATGGCCAGCCAAGAGTGGGGCAAGGGGAGGGAGGGAAGGCCTGGTAAGTGGCATAAGGGGACCGTAGGCCTCTGTGGCAAGGGGGAAGAGTAGCTAGAGAGGCAAGCAGGGCAAGTTCTGGATGATCCTTGAGGACTTAAGGATTTTAGTTTTTATTTTAAGAGCAGCAGAGTATCAGGAAAGAGCAAAGACATCAAATATGCATTTATAAAGATGATGCTGGCTGCCTGGAGGCTATTGCTGTTCGTTTAGGCAAGAGAACTCATAGGCTTGGTATGGATGAGGCAGAAGAGAAACAGAGGGATGGATACCTTTGAGAGAGATTGAGGCTGGGGAGGATGGGAAGTGAGAGTGAGGCAAAGGAGGTTTCCTCTGATAACTCCTCCATGTCGAGCTATGCTGAAAGTCTGGCACCTAAGGCAGGCTTCTGGAAGATTTCTGAACAAGCTGAAATTCGTTCATCTCTCCCTCTTATCTGTACTTTTGCAGGTACCACATGCTCTACTCCAACATCTATTGAACATGCAAACATCCAGGTCAAGAGTTATAATGAGAACTCCAGGGAGCGTTATATTTGTAACTCTGGTTTCAAGCGTAAAGCTGGTACGTCCAGCCTGACTAAATGCCTGCGTAACGAGGACACAAATATTACCCAGTGGACCATTCCCACTCTCATATGCATCAGTAAGTACCTTCCCCTGCACCATCCCTCCCTGCCACCCTTGCCAAGGACACATAGACAGCAGTGCTGCAATGTGGGTCATAGAATAGCCCACCTGAGGGGCCAAGAGATTTGTGGTGAGGTCTGAGGCTAAATAAACCAATAGACCTCTAAACAACATCTCTGGAGGTGGAAATACATGAGCTTTGGAGCAGGGAGGGTGTCACACAATTGTGGGTTCAAATCTTGGCTCTGCCACTTACCTAAACTCATGAGACTTTGGGCTTTCATATCTCGGAACTCTAGGTTTCTTATATAGGAAATGGACCCGATGTCCATTGTGGCTTGTTTGTAGAAAGATTCAGTGAAACCTGGTAAATATTAACTATTATTACCATCAATGCTTTAAGATTTTGATAGCAAGAATTTGGCTACAGACAAGGATGTGTGCTCAAGCATAGCTGCTTCCCAGAGAGCTTTTCCAATTTCTCCCTAGGAGAAGGTCTGCATTCTTCTCCAATGGTATCCATCCCAGGAGACTGCGGAGACACATGGGCGCAGCTTCCCTAACTCGGTTACCCAAGTCTGGTGTCCAGTCAGTGGTTCAGAGCAAGTGTGAGAGAAAGTCGCCAGAATCAATTTTTGTAAACCACCTACAACTGGATAACCATGCCAGAAGGAGTCAATTAATCTTGTGGTGGAAGCCAATTGTGCCATTTCCAGAAATACTAATCCACTTACTCTAGAAAAATATTAAGCCACAGTCTTCTGATTTAACATTTATTGCTTACTTGGTACAAGTCCAGCAGTGAGTGAGATGCTTTCTCATATAACATTTGTGAAAATTACCAACTTCTCTATGGGGGAAGCAGAGGTGTAAGGAGATGAGGTTTTGTTTGTTTGTGTTTTTGTTTATCCTCGCCGGATGGTTTTTTTCCATTGATTTTTAGAGACAGTGGAAGGGAGGTATGGAGGGTGGTGAGAAAGAGGGGGGCGGAAATAGATTGGTTGCCTCCCGTAGCGCCTCCCAACTGGGAATGGGTATCGAACCTGCAACCCTGGTACATGCCCTTGACCAGTAATCAAACCAGCAAATTGAACCCACAACCCTTTGGTGCATGGGCCCCATGCTCTAACCACTTAGCGACACCAGTCAGAGCAGACGGGAGGTTGTTCTATAGCAAACTCACTTTATTGTAGGACTCCTTGGAGAGCCAGACTTACTTATTGAATTTGTAGTGTTTAGACCACCTGGTGCCCCTCCCCCTCAACCTGTCCCTCCCTTTGCATGACTGTCATGCAGCCGTCAGAGGCAAAGCAAGGAGGAAGCCTTCTACTTGATGTAGAGGACTGACTGTCCCTTTCCCTGATCTTTTCAAGGATGCATGTATATATACAGCCTTGAAAGATGGAGACAGCACCTCCCTCTGGAGAGAAGGCAGACATGGTCATGCTGTTAATAAAAGACTCAGGTTCCCTGAGTTCAGGCTTCCTCTGCTGCGTTGCAGACCCACTGGATGTATCTATTCTGGCCCATCCATGTTGCCTCTCTGGGGCTTGGGGATGAGGGAATTGATGCAAATTTGCAGATACTCCTGCTGCCTATTGTGTTTGCAGTCTGTGCTTACATTTGCATGAGAACTGCAGGTTGGGAAACATTAATTGTAGTTTATTTCTTGTGTTTCTGACCTATCCTAAGAGACCAAATGTATCTGTTTTAAATTTGTATGTTTATTTATATCCAGTTCTGAAGCCACCCCAGGGTCCACCCTCAAGATCATAAATGCCATGTGGTTGTCCTCTCTCTAGGAGACCCCTCCCTGACCCGCCAAAGGCCATCCTCCACAGTAGCTCCAGCAGGGGTGACCCCAGAGCCAGAGACCCCCTCCCCTTCTGGAAAAGGTAGGAATGTTGGGAATTTTTTAAGGACTTCCATTCCCTGCTAACACTCAGGTCCCCACAAATCCCTCAGATTCATGGACCACTGCTGGAGTTCCACTACAAACTTATGTAATAGAACAAAACTATTTAAAAATCAAAAACAAAAACTTACCTTAGCTTAATTTTCTGTTTTAAACCAAAGGGGCTTGATATCCAGGTTTTATATGTGCATGATTAATAATGGTTTGAAATCCACTCTTATTATGTCAGATCAAACTTAACTGCTATCCTTGTCAATACTGCTCTCCGTCTCAGGGAGGTTCTGAGGTTTGGCCTGCCTCACATGTTAGCCCACCACAGTTTCAGGGATACTGGCAGAAAAACACAACACTCCTGGTCAGAGCTGTGGCCATCACTTTGTAAAGCATATAAATGTTGAATCACTATGTTGTATACCTGAAACTAATATAATACTGTGTCAATTATGAATAATTTTTTAAAAGCAACAACAAAAACCAGTATATGAGTTCTGATTCTAGAAAGAGCTCTGTAAGTATTAATAACAAAAGATGTGAATTTCAGAAACGTGAGTGACCCATGCAGAATTGCCTCCCAACAATCCTACGCACCAGCAAGTTAACTATGATGGCTCTGGTGTAGCAGCATTGCCCAAATCTGCCAATGTGTCACATTTCCACTGAGTCTTACGTAATCATCCATCCCAATTTCCTCAGCACTGACTCCGTGTTAAGAAAATCCAAAACCTTCGGTGCTAAATATCATGGGACAATGTGCCCCATGTCCTATGATACCCTTACTTTACACTTAACTCTTGATTTTTTTGTGTCCCATTTTCCAATTTGTGGGTTTTCCTAGCCCCTGTCTCCTCCCATCCAGGCACAGTCATTCTGTTATGCTTGGCATGCCTCCCTAGAGCAGGGTTCCTAATCTTGGCTGTCCACTGAGGTCACCTCGGAACTCTCGAGAGCAATCTGGGAATCAGAATTCTAGAAGCTCCCTGGGTAATTCTTAGGTAGCCAAGGCTGAGAACCACTGCTGAAGGGAGGATGGAAAGGCCAGAAAAAGGTGGTTCCTTCTAGTTAGCTGGCTACAAACAGAAGGCGGAGGCTGAGGTACTGGCTATATTTAAGATTGGGGCAGTTCTAAAGCTCCTTCGATGGGAGTCAAATCTGATTCACCCAAGTAATGAGAATCATCAAGTGGCCTCTCCCAGTTCTGACTTCATGCACCAAACATTTGATCAGATGAAACTGTATGGTCGAAATCTCAGATGTGAGATTGTCATCTTTGACAGAAAGTGATGTTGCTATGGACACTTGGATGGGAATACTCGGGGAACTCTATGCAAAGTATCTGGACTGCTGGAAGTCTGGGTAGTATGAGGACGTGAGTAAGGATTAAAGGGCATGAGAACTTCTCACAGCATTTGTGGCTGGGAACACATGGGAAAGCAGCCCAAATAATGTGGCCGATGGCCAAAGATGCCGAGACCAGGGCAAAGCCCTTCAAATACACTCTATAGTTCAGATGGGCTGAATCTCAGGCTCCCTCTTATTTAGAAGTTTTGTGAAAACATATATAAAATAAAATAAAACCAGCATCCCAGACATCTCGGCTTTGGCAAATACTGTTCCACTTGTGTGTGTGTGTGTGGTTTTTTTTTTTTTGAGCCCAATCTTCTCTAGTAAACAGCCTGGATCTACTCTAATCTTTGTAATTTACTCTGCAAATCCTCTAGCATTCTCAAAAGTCTTATGGCCACCCCGGATGGATGACTACGTTACACACACTTAAGGGATTTTCGCAAAGATCCATGGAGCAGTGTCCTGGGGGAGGGCTGGCCCAGGGTGGGCTCCTTAGAGCACAGATTAAGTTCACTCTCCTCTGGAGCTAAGAAAGTTACTATTCTAAACATTTATGTTCTCCATGTGTTGCACCTTCTGACAGAGCCAGCTTTCATTTCCAAGCCAGACACCACAGTGGCCACAAAGCCAGCTGTGGTTCCGGGCTCCAGGCTGACATCCAAATCTCCTGCAGGAACCACAGGGGTAGTCAGGAGTGAGCCCTCCCAAGCCCCACCTCAGACAACTGCAAAGTCCTTGGAACACACTCCCTCCACCTCCCTCGAGAAGCCAGGTTGGCACCGTCTTTGCACACTTTAGGGGAGTTCAGCTCTCTGCCTGCATGACATAATACCCTCCAAAATCAGAACAACCTGGCAACCCTCCGCCACCGGCTCTAAGCCACAGGCTTCTTGCTCTTGTCTCTGTTTTGTGCTCCACCCTGGCTCAGTCCAGGTGAAAAGGAAGTCCATTTCCCAAATGTGCCAAGTCTCACCGTATTAACTTGCTTTGCTAAGAATCTGAATAATATCGGCCTCCTCCTAATGTGGGAGGACGAGGACGCTTCCCACCCGCTGGGGTCATGATCTATGGGATGGAGGAGCACTCGGTAACCTGTATCTTCTGTAAGGGCACATCTGACTCTTAAGCATGGCCCAGCCTGTAAATGAATTAATGACCTTGCTTGTTCTTTGCTAAAATGAATTTGGTTTTTCCAGCCATGCATCTCTCAAGGCTTTAAGATAGGAACCAAACTGTGCAGAATTTCTCCTGCTTAATGAGAATAGTACCTTTAGGACTACCATCATAACTGAGCTGCAATCTCTTCCCTCAGGTGCACATTCATCCAATTTCACAGCTGTCACTGGTAAGTATTTCCCTTTGTCCTGGAAGTGCTGAAGGGCAGGGGACTTGTCCCAGGAAGCTGAACAGTCCTGGTTTGTGCCAGTTGTCCCAGCATGATCACTACTAGCATCCCCTTTCACTCTCAAGAGTATCGGTGTAGAAAGTAAGTTACAAGATCACCCTATTTATGGAATTCTTTATTTGACATCACTATTTTCATATTGGCACCTTACCAGTGTCAGGCTCCTGATATGGAAACCAAAGAGTAGACACATCACAAAAAGGGCCTATTCAGCAATTCAGTTCTACTAAGCAGAGCTAGACGCCTGTCCAAGACTTACTAAGTAACCAGGAGTGCGTGCTGGCACTGTGGAGATGACACTGTTCTGCTGACATACAAACTGCATTACTCCCCCAGAGTGTTAGTGAGCATGCACCTACAGCCAGACCATTCAAATTTCTCCGTCTAGAAGCCTTTTTACAGGAGATGCACACAACACTAAGACTAGGGGAGAATGTCCCAGTAAATATAAGGAGGAAGATGGAAAATTGTTAGCAAGAATGAAAGAAAAAGATGAAAGGGGGAGAGGAAAGCTCAGAGAAGAGAGGAGAGAAAACGAGAAAGAAGCCAGGAGAGAGAAATGCAATAAATAAGAAAGGATCTGATACTTTTGTCTGAGAGGTTTTCAATGAACTGAAAACCACTCTAATGTCATATGGGCAAAATGATTTCTATTTTTGATTTACAAGTTTTCCTGCTAGAGAAAGATTCATATTTTTGTGGTTACATTTTATCTGCATTAGTGTCATCTGGAAAAAAAAAAAGTGGCTTTGGTCATCTCAGCAGTTAGTTGATTAGAATTTTTTTTAAAATCAATCATATATACAAAGTCAAGACAGTGTGGAAAGGCTCTTTGGAGAATATTTTCACGGAGAAACTATGGCATTTAATGGTAAGGATATGAAAACAAGAATATATTTATCATTTCAGGGGAGACCAATAAATAAAGAAGCCAATCTAATTTTTCTTTTTAAGTCCTGTACTACATTAATCTTTCTACAAAGTTTTAAATTTTTTATTCATTTAAAAAAATATTTTTTGATTGATTTCAGAGAGGATAGAAGAGGGAGAGAAACATCAGTGATGAGAGAGAATCATTGGGTGGCTGCCTCCTGCACACCCCCTACTGGGGATTGAGCCCATAACCCGGGCATGTACCCTTGGCCAGAATCAAACCCTGGACCCTTCAGTCTGCAGGCCAACACTCTAACCACTGAGCTAAACCGGCTAGGGCTTTATTCATTTTTTGAACTGAAAATTTTTGCACATTGTTTAAAAATAAAAAATTACAAAAGGATATATAGTAAAAAGTAAGCCCTCTCCCTGACTGAAAATCATCTGTGGGAAGGAAGAAATCCCCTGCTACCAGATTTCTGTGTACCCATCAGAGAAAGTCAGTATGTCAACAGCACACAGAGGATATGTGATGCCAGCCAGTTAGGTATTTTATTTTCAAGGTTCTGTACTTTGTTTTCACTTAATGCTATATTTTGGAGATTCTTCCACATCAGTATATAAAACTACATCATTCTTTTTAAGAACTTAAAAATATTCCATTGTATGGATTTACCACAATTTATTTAGCCAACTCTCTATTTGGACACGAGACTGCTTACATTCTTTGGCTATATTACAAACAATGAAAAATTAGAAAGCCTTGTATTGTTTTGCATATGTCTGAATATATCTGTAGGATAAAAACTTATACATAAAGTTTTGGGGCCATATTTTCTATGTAGATTTTCAAACTATTTTATTATGGACTATAATCTATTTTTTCTAATTTATGTCTTTCACTGGATTAAAATATCAGAAACTCACTCCCAAATTCTGAAATGTAATATAATAAACATTAACTGAACATGTACAATAAAGATAGCTATGTGCAAAGAACTGTGAAAATACCGAGATTTAAAAGAAAAAAAAACCCCCAGCTTTAAACCATTCATATTGTATGAATAAGATTATCTTCTTTCAAGCTGCTTAAATATAAAGATAGACATGTTTCCCTGGCCACTCAGTTGGTTGAACATCATCCCATGCACCAAAGGTCACTGGTTTGGATGCCAATCAGGGCACATGCCTTAATTTCAGGTTCAAACCCCAGGAGGTGGGGGATGGAGGGGCAGGAGGCAGCCAATTGATGTTTCTCTCTCTCATCAATGTTTCTCTCTCCCTCTCCCTTCTCTCTCTCAAAAACACCAATAAAGACATTTTTTTAAAAAGGCAGACATATTAAAACTATAAGAAAGCAAGAAATTTCAGCAAGGAGATGAAAAGTAGCTATATTTCATTATGTATTACTTGAGTTTCATCCGCTAAGAAGGTGTATGCTAAAATGAAAATCATGCTAACTTTCTAAAAAACTTAGTTATAATGCCTTCAAAGTATGTCTCATACAATCCCAGCCACCTAAGACCTAAGAGTATGCCCAGGCCAGGTATCAGTGACAGAGGTACTCGCTGGTTCCCTGGGCATCAGTGGCTGTTGCTATTTCCACATGAATAAGCAATCAGTTGAGCTCATCTTTGTAAAAAAATATATATATAAATGATGCTTTATACTATAGTGGTTGCTCAGTAAATGTTAACATAATGTTTTAATCAACCCATTGATACTACCAATATCATTTATTTTTTAAATAAGGTTATAAAAGATATCACAACTTTTAAAGTTGCTTTCTTTAGTCCAACAGAAATATTGAATGAATAAGTAGTGAATGAATGAGCAACTATTAAGTAAATTTGAGGGCTTTAACATCTAAATAAATATTCAGGAAGTGTTGCTTATCATCTCATTGTCTCAAGTATCTACTGCCTCACTTGGCAGCCCTTTTTATCAATAACTTTATTCAATTTTTCCAATATCTGGTCTCTGATACTTGACTAAGCTATTCTTGAAGCATCTCAATTCTGTGTAATAAAGAGAGAATATGCTAATTGACCCTCACACCATCACAAAGATGGTGGCACCCACAGCCAATAAGAAGGGAATATGCTAATTGCCCCGCCCTCAAAGATGGCAGCGCCCACAGCCATAAAATGGTTGGCAGGGGAGGGCAGTTGGGAGCGATTGGGCCAGCAGGGGAGCAGTTAGGCATCGATTAAGCTGGCAGGGGAGTGGTTAGGGGTGATCAGGCTGGCAAGCAGAAGCGGTTAGGGTCAATCAGGCAGGCAGGCAGGCGAGCAGTTGGAAGCCAGCAGTCCCATATTGTGAGAGGGATCGGGCCTAACCGGCAGTCGGACATCCCCCAAGGGGTCCCAGATTGAAGAGGGTTCAGGCTGGGCTGAGGGCCACCCTCTCCCCCCAAATTTTGTGCACCAGGCCTCTAGTTGTAAAATAAAAGGTCAAAACGTCATCTATGAGTGTGTTTACATGGCCATCTTCATTTAGTACACTAGGAGTGAGGAGTTCCTTTTTCTGCCACATCTGAAATAAGTTTGCTACAGTCCATATACTCAGCCTTTAACAGAAGCTACCTTTGTAACGTTCATCTGTTCAACCAATAGAAATGGAGGTTCTATTTTGTGGCAGGTCTGGTACTAACCTGCAATGAAATGCAGATTTCTCATTAAAAAGCAAATGGCACTTTAAATGTATGTATTTCAACTTATGGGATGGTAATTATTTAATTCAGTCAAGTAAGTATTGATTATCTACTCTGAACCCCACACTTGGAATGTGCTTAGTAAAGTAACAGATACTAATAGAAGAAGAAAAAAAACTTAGGAAAACTGCCCAGAACTGACATTCTTACTTCAAAATTGCCCTGATCAAATGCAGACACACAAGGACTCTGGGCACAGTGACAGAAATACGTACTACTCCCCGATTGACCTAGTTTGCAGGTACTGCTAAGGAATGGCGATTCCCTGTATGACCACAGAGGACATTTCATCATCCACATCCAAAAGTGGCCCCTGGCTTCCTAGGCTACCTTCTGTGCCCCAGACCCAACATGCATGTTGAATGGTAGGTTGAATGCTAGGCAGGCAGTTATTAGCCTTTCTGGCCTCCTGTGCAATAATCCACCTTTTCTCCTCTCTCTCCCAGATTCTAATCCTCCTCCAACTCATGAAATCTCTTTCACTTCCTTTTCCTATAATCCATGCACCCCTAGTAAACACAAAAGGGTGGAGGACTTTGGCAGTTGATATCTTAGTCCATTGTTGTAGTAATTCTGGTTTCAATTTCTTTACTAAATATGTCTGTATATAACTGAGGAAGAGGTCAAGGGTTTGGGTTTAAGTCACTGAGTTCAAATTGCTTTGTTGTATCATTGGCTCAGGAGCCCTCTTCTCCCTTGAGTTTGAGTCTGTAGTTTATATTCTCATTACAAATAAACAGGAAGAAGCATTGTGAAATACTGTTTATATCAACTTGCCTTTTCCAATAAATCTCTCCATGAACAGTAAATGCATGCCAAGCTGATTAGTTAACGTGAAGAAATAGTTTATTATCAGCTACAATATCTCTGCTAATAAAAGACTCCTGATTTTTAGTCATACTGATGAGTAATGTTTTTTAAAAAGTCAAAATAACTTTCACTAGTTTTCCAAGTTTGTTGTTACTTCTTTTAGAACAATTTTTCTATGCTTTTTTCTACTGCAATTAGTTTTGTTGCCGAAACCGGTTTGGCTCAGTGGATAGAGCGTCGGCCTACGGACTGAGGGGTCCCAGGTTCGATTCCGGTCAAGGGCATGTACCTGGGTTGCGGGCACATCCCCAGTGGGGGATGTGCAGGAGGCAGCTGATCGATGTTTCTCTCTCATCGATATTTCTAACTCTCTATCTCTCTCCCTTCCTCTCTGTAAAAAATCAATAAAATATATTTAAAATAAATAAATAAATAAATAAAAGCTGAATAATATTCCATTGGATGAGTATTAACACATTTTAACTAATTTTCTACTGATAAGATATTTAGATGAACATTTTAAAAATTATTTTACACAGTACTTCAGTGAATATTCCTACATATACTTTCCCATTTCCTTAGAATGAGTCCTAGATATGCACCCCTATGTTCATAGCAGCACAATTCACCATAGCTAAGATCTGGAAACAGCCTAAGTGCCCATCAGTAGATGAATGGATTAGAAAACTGTGGTACATCTACACGATGGAATACTATGCTGCTCTAAAAAGGAAGGAACTCTTACCATTTGCAACGGCATGCAATAATAGATACAGAGGCAAAGCTGCCTCAAACAGAGTGTCAAACTGCAGCGGGAAGGCCGGGGAGGGTCCGGGGGCGGGAGGTAGGGGGGTAAGAGATCAACCAAAGGACTTGTATGCATGCATATAAGCATAACCAATGGACATAAGACACTGGGGGATAGGGGAGGCTAGGGGACTGTCTTGGGAGGGGGGAAAAATGGACACATATGTAACACCCTTTGTAATAAAAAAAATAAATTAAAAAAAAACACAATGAGTCCTAGGAGTAGAACTGGAGAGTTAACTTATATGGTCTTCTCTAGAGCTTTTGTTATGTTGCCAAGTACCTTTGAGAAAAACTGTACCCATTTACATTCACTCCTACAAAGCAGAGAATCTGGGTGTTTCCCATATCCATATAGTTAACCTGCATTTCAATAGGGTTGGATTTTAAATGACAAGCCCTGGGGTTTTACCCTTGCCTACAAGGTTGTGTGTTGGTTGTACAGGGACAGGTCTGAAAAGTTTCATGGTCTTGGAGACTAATTGGTTCATGGTCCACCATGAGACAACTGGCTCTCCAGATGCTCAGGGTTGTCACCTTGCAAGTGGGGCAGCCAGGTGATTTTTGCAGGGACATTTCATAATATTAAGGCAAACTGGCAAAAGCTGTTTGGAGTGTATTATTGACTCAGTGTTTTAAAATAGTTATGTTCACCCACCCTTTTGCTTCCACTTGAGGATCCCACTCTTCCTGTCTAATAAATCGCAAATGCTGTTGTGGCTGCTGGCCTTCCACCCTCAAATCCTCCCACCATCCATGCAGTTCCTTTCAACTTAGTCAACAGTTTTTTCCTTTTCCTAAGCATTACTATATTCTCCTCTTACCTGTAAGATCTCTCTTGTCACACCTCTTCTTTCTCTTTACCACTCTTCCTCTGTCATAAAAATAGTAGCAAGTAATGCTAATGGAATTGGAAGGAAAATGGCCCTGCAAGCTATCATTTCTAAATCAAGATTCTGCGAAGCTGCAGAAAAGGGGGAGGCTATGCCAGAGGACAACTGAGGAGGACCCTTACCATGCCTACTTCCTTCACTTTGGATTTAGCAGCAAGCATTTCTTCTCACGAGGTGCTTACTTTCCCCTCCTGACTTACTCCCACCCCAGCCCATCACTCACTCTGCTCAGGAAGGACAAGGATTAGGAGCACGGGACATGGGATAACATGAACTGGACAGTTTGAACTGGCAGTGTTGGTGGGAAAGGAATGTAGTTTTTGCCCAGAGATAGAATAGATTGAATTGCATGGAACCTTAAGAAATGTTAATAACAGTAAGCTGTTTGGGAAGGCATTTGTATCTCTCTGCGGGAATGTAAACTATACAGAATTTTCAGATTCGTAGAAATTAACCTTATAGGGGGATAAATGGTGATGGATGGAGACTTGATTTGGGGTGCTGAACACACAACACATTGTACAGATGATGAGTTGTAGAACTATGCACCTGAAACCGGTATAATTTTATTAACCAGTGTCACCCCGATAAATTAAATGAAAAGGGAAAAAAAGGAAATGAATCTGCTACCTGGACTTTTAGCATGATGCCAGCTTAGTTCTCTTCTTTTACAGTGGCAACCATCTCCACACCTGTCACTGTGCTTTGTGGAGCATGTGTGGTATTACTTCTGATATGTTACCATAAAAAATCAAGGTGAGTGGCACAAGAGAATCACACTGGACAAGATTCTTCCTTTCCTGCAAGAAAAGAGTTCATTATTATGACCCTGGGCCTGCATTCCCAATGAAGAATCCCTTTCCTGACTAGAGACACAGGCTCTCACTCTCACCCTGCTTTTACATTGGCCAAAAGGAGTGTCGGCCCTGGCTGGTGGCTCAGTTGGTTGGAGCATCGTTTCATGTACCAAAAGAAGGTTGTTTCGATTCCCAGGAAAGGCACATACCCAAGTTTCAGTATGTGATCCATATGGAAAGCAACCGATCCATGTTTCTCTCTCACACTGATGTTTCTCTCTCTCCCTCCCTCTCTCTAAAACATATCCTCAGGTGAGGATTTAAAAAAACACACAACAGTGTTGCAGTTGAGCAGTCACATTGAGCCAGTCTTAGAAAGCCATTTACTTTCCTAGGCAGGCCACTCGTCAGAAGTGGGGCAGCAAGAGATGGTGACACAGGGCCAATTTTACCAATAGCTAATTCAGAAAGAAAGTATGTGCCAACTAACCAATTTGATAGGCAATTTGTATCACTTCTTATCATATAGGCATGAATATATTCTTCTTCAATGCACTCATTACATATGGATATACTTTTTTATAAATACACTCATTAATGTCAGTCTTACTTTTGTATTTCTGTTCATTGAAATTCTACATTTCAGCATTTGTGACAAAATTGTTTCTGCCACTTGCTGAAATTTCAAACCTTATTATTTTTCTAATCTTCAGGCATTTTTATCATTTTTTTGTTAAAGCTTCAACTGACACATTAACCTTTATTTTATTTTATTTTTTAAATTCTCCTTAAACTTTTTAAAATGAATTTTTCTTTTTTTTTTTAAATATATTTTTATTGATTTCAGAGAGGGAGAGGAGAGAGATAGAAACATCATTGATGAGCGAGAATCATGGATTGGCTGCCTCCTGCACACCCACTACTGGGGATCAAACCTGCAACTTAGGCATGTGCCCTTGATCGGAATAAAACCTGGGACCCTTCAATCTGCAGGCCGATGCTCTATCCACTGAGCCAAACTGGCCAGGGCTAGTCTTAATTTTATACTTCTACCAATTAGTAAGCAATATTTCAGCATTCCATATTGATGTAGTTGCTCTGGATCCTTTCTCAGCTTTATACAATCAATGGACATACGATTTGTTGAAAATAAACTTTTAGTTACTAGTAAAAATTATTCTTTTGTAAATATCATATCAATATAAAGACTATACTGCCCTTTGAGCCTAACTTCGAAAAAATGAACATTTCATGAAATACTACTGTAAAGCCAAAATGAAAACATCATCTAAAAATGTACATAAATCTTCAAAAGCTGTTAATACCATCTCAACCAATAAGAAATGCCATAAACTTCATAAATAGTTGAGATTAACTAAGATTGCTATATTACTTAAAAACTTATCAAAAAAATTAAAAAATGTTAAAATGTTGGCACAATGTATTTTAAAAGGATTTTTAAAATGTAATAATTTCCATATAAAATGCTATATTTGGAGTTACATTCTTAAGAGATTATAATGACTATAATCATTGACTATGTATTTTTAAAATATATTTTTATTGATTTCAGAGGGGAAGGGAGAGGGAGAGAGATAGAAACATCAATGATGATAGAGAATCATTGGCTGCCTCCTGCATGCCCTACACTGGTAATCAAGCCCACAACCTGGGCATATGCCCCGACTAGGAATAGAACCATGACCTCCTGGTTCCCAGGTTGAGATGCTCAACCACTGAGCTATGTTGGCTAGGCGACTATATTTAAAAAGAGTACATACACAATCTTTTAAAAGAATAATACATTAAATTATATTCTTTAAAAGTATTTGAAAATGTGGTATATATGGCCAATAAATATGCTCATAAGAAGAAAATATCAATATTCACAGACTATGTTAAAGAAATATTCATAATCACCTCTTTAAGAATTGGTAAACCTCCAAAGAGCTCAATGTGCTTATTTTAAAATGTCCTAAATGTGCTTATCCTCAGAAGGTGGGTTAAATAATGCATGGAAGAAATTGCTGACTCAGACATTCATGGCCTAAAAATCACATTGTTTAACAAAGAAACCTGAAATTAAGGTGTTCTGTCCCCCCCACCCCTTGATTACTCAGGAACTGATCAATATATTTTTTTTACTTTTTAAAATGTTTTTATTGATTTTTTAGAGAGAGAGAGATAGAAAGACACATTGATCGGTTGGCCTCCTGTACATACCTCTACTGTGGATCGAGCCCACAACCCAGGCATGTGCCCTGACCAGGAATCGAACCCATGACCTCCTAGTTCCTGGGTCAACACTTAACACTAAGTGCCAAGAACTTTTTTTAAAGTTTTATAAATATTGTATCACTTTTATCAGGATTATCACATCTGGCTTAGCGCAACTCCTAGTTACTCTCTCCTTCTCTTGTTCTTGACATTTGAACTACCAGTTTTCAGCAGAGGGTTGGCAAGGTATGGGGGAAGCTGCTCCAATAGCATATGGAAATCTTTGGTGGATAAGGGGATTAAAAATACCGAAAACCCTAAAAATAGGATTTAAATAGTATCTGCGAGTGCAGTTTTCTCCATCTGAGTGTTCAATAGGGACTGTTTACTCAATTTGAGGGCAATGCTATCTTTTCAAAACCTGTGAATTATTTGCTTTACAGGCAAACTTCCCAAACACCCAGTGATCAAGTGGAAAATATGGAAGATATCCCAATGACTGGAGGAAACAATGGCAGAGAGGAGGATACAGAAAACTACCACACAGTCTAGGAAACTCCAAGGAAAACCCGGGCCAGCAAGGGCTACAGCGAAGGCACCAACTCTGCTCTGGCCAGAGGGGACCTAGAAAAGACTCAAGGAGTTGGGCGCCAGGGAGAAGCCACCAAGATGTGCCCACTCTCGGCACTGTCTGCATCAGTAGGTTCTCCAGGCTTAGGATGGAAGCTCGATGCCTGCCCTGCCTCAGAGATGGCGCCAAGTTCCCAGAGTCCCAGCCATTGAAGGCCTCAGGTCTTCCTATCAGAGCTTTTATTTCATTATGATATTTACTCAGGATAACTTATCAGCTTGACTCTTCCATCCCTCCTCCTGACTGGCAGTTTACAAAGAAAAGAAATATATCTGAGACTCTAAGTGAATTTAGTAGGCTCCTCCTGGCTTGAGAGGTGTCTATAAGGATGACATTATCATTTCAGCTCCTAAAACTCTCTCCAGTTAGGTGCTCTGCTTACACTGAAACGGAGCAAAGAGATATTGTGCCCAGTGAATTCTCTTAATTTAAGGATTCAGAAAGAAAACTGAATTCAGTGACGTTTTCCATATAAATACATGTATATTTATACTTTGTTTATTATCCTACTAGTAGCCTTGCACATGAATCCGTGTGCCAATAGCTCTCTGCGGGGCCTAGCCACTCCGCACCTGCTTCCCAGAGGCTCTCTGTGGCCCAGAGGCCCGTCCGTGGCCCAGAGGCCCATCTGTTTTATCTGTGTTATACAGTCTTGGTTCTGGCATTTGCATGCTTGGTGTAGCAGGAACGAGAAGAAAACACCCATTCATTTGTGAAGTGCCCAGAGTGGCTGTGCCTCCATGAGCCATGTCTTTTGGATTTCCCCAAGTGGTGTTCTGCACCTCTTCTTGGGCCTCCAGCTTGCATACCTCTTTGCTCGGTGTAGCAGGAACAGGAAGAAAACACCTCATTCATCTGTGAAGTGCCCAGGGTGGCTGTGCCTCCATGAGCCATGCCTTTCGGATTTCCCCAAGTGGAGTTCTGCGCATCTCCTTGGGCCTCCAGCACTGCTAGCGTGTGCACTCTTTCCCTCCAATTAAAATGAGTAAGTCACAGGGATGACATGCTCCTGTCAGCACTCACTCATGTAAATTGAGTGAGTGCTGACAGGAGCCCATTCGCAGCTGGGCGCGGAACACTTGCCTTATCACCAGGGTGATGACGCAAGTATTTCATGCCCCGGCCTGGCCAGAAGCCCATCTACGGCCAGGTGTGGAACGTCTGCCTTATCGCCATGGTGGTGAAGCAAGCATTCTGCCAGGCCGCTCACGCTGCTTGCTCTCAGCGGCTGACCCCCACTGGGACTGGGGGACTCCGGCGGGGCTGAGAGGACTGGGCGCTGCCATCTTGTGGCTATGGGTGCTGCCATCTTTTGTGATGGAGTGATGGTTAATTTGCATATTACCCTTTTCTTAGATAGGATATAATAAAAGCCCAGTGACCAAATGGCGGAATGGCCAGAACAACTGGTTGCTATGACGTGCACTGACCACCAGGAGTCAGATGCTCAATGCAGGAGCTGCCCCGTGGTGGTCAGTGTGCTATGACAGTGGGAGCACTGCTAGGCTGATCGGGATGACAGGCTGCTCTTGCTGCGAACCCCGGGCTGATGGGCAGGAACCCGGGCTGTCATTGTCACCTCCTCGCCCCAGGCTCCTCCTCCTTGCTCCCTGCCACCTCCTCCAGATGCCTGCAGGCTGTGCAGCACCACCACCGCTGCCGCTGCTGGGCTCACAGAGCTGATCCTGGAGGCTGGGAGGTGGGTTCGTGGCTGCTGTGGCACTGAGGCCTACTCTGCCACCTCTTAGTGCTAGTGTCCTTGAGCCCAGCCCTGACTGGGTTCCCTGGAGAGGCAAGTGGTCCAGCTCCACAGAAGATGCTGGACCAGGGAGCAGCTGCTCAGAGGGTGGTCCACAGCCACTCAGCTGACTGGATGAGCAGTGCTCCCACAGCGGGCTGATCCCCACAGGCCACGCCCCCCACCAGTGCACGAATCCTATGTACCAGGCCTCTAGTATCTACATATTATGACTTGCATTTTGAAATTGTATCTTACACAAACAAAATAAAATGTCTATTTTCAATTTAAAAATGCAGTAAAACAATCACTGAGTAGAAATGAACATCAACAACAATGAACACCAAGCCCTGACCAGTTGTTCAGTGGTTAGAAGGTTGGCTTGCAGATCGAAGGGTCTTGGGTTCAATTCCCAGTCAAAGGCATACACCTTGGTTTCAGGTTCGATCCCCAGGCCCAGTCAGAGGCAACCAATGGATGTGTCTCTCTCATGTCAATGTTTCTCTTTCTCTCCCCTTTCCCCTCCTCTCTCGCTTTTACTCTCTCTAAAAATCGATGGAAAAAATATCCTCAGATGAGGATTAAAGAAAAAGAACACTAAGAGGATAAAAACCAGGAATGCAGAGTCCCAAATGGTTGAGCGCAGCTTTTCCAAAAGGAGAAAAACAATCTTGCCTAAAGCTGGATCAGATCACAGTCTGAGATAATTTCTAATGGGATTTCCATGTAAGAAGCCACAAATGGCAGATTATGGGCCAAGTATTCCCGGTACACACATGCTCTTGCTTTTTTTCCTCTCCTTTCCTTCCTCCCTCCCTCCCTCCCTTCCTTCCTTCCTTCCTTCCTTCCTTCCTTTCCTGTTTGTAACATCTATACCAGCCGTGGGCAAACTATGGCCCACAGGCCGGATCCGGCCTGTTTGAAATGAATAAAACTAAAAAAAAAAAAAAACCGTACCCTTTTATGTAATAATGTTTACTTTGATCCGGCCCATTTGAAATGAATAAAACTAAAAAAGAAAAAAAAAAAGACCATACCCTTTTATGTAATGATGTTTACTTTGAATTTATATTAGTTCACACAAACACTCCATCCATGCTTTTGTTCCGGCCCTCTGGTCCAGTTTAAGAACCCACTGTGGCCCTTGAGTCAAAAAGTTTGCCCACCCCTGATCTATACTAACAAAAGCCTAAGTGACCGTCACGCCCTCATGTCGTCACAAGATGGCCGCCCCGTTATCACATGGCTGCCCCCACATCATCACAAGATGGCTGCCCCATGTCATCACAAAAATGGCCACCACAAGATGGCTGCCCCCACGTCGTCACAAGATGGCTGCCCCCACATGTGTCACAAGATGCCGCCACAAGATGGCCGGCAGGGGAGGGCAGTTGGGGGCGATTGGGCCAGCAGAGGAGTGTTAAGGGGTGATCAGGCCGGCAGGAGAGTGGTTAGGAGGTGATCAGGCAGGCAGGGGAGTGGTTAGGGGGTGATCAGGCTGGCAGGGGAGGGGTTAGGGGGGGATCAGGCAGGCAGGCAAGGAGTTAGGAGCCAGCAGTCCTGGATTGTGAGAGGGATGTCCGACTGCCAGGCATCCCCCGAGGTATTCCAGATTGGAGAGGGTGCAGGCTGGGCTGAGGGACACACACACCCAAGTGCACAAATTTCATGCACTGGGCCTCTAGTTTTAAAAATAAAATCAAGGGCCTAATTCCATATCCTCATTTTATAGATGAGAAAACTGAGGCCCAGAGAAGTTGACTTACCCAAGGCCACATGGCTCAATTAATACCAGAGAGTTTGAACAGAATTTGGGATGGAGGGGTGGGGAGTAGTAGTCCTCACTGTAAACCAGCTTTCAGTTGCCCAATCACACAGCCAGGGGTAGCCAGGTTGCCATCACAGGCTCTTGAGAGGTGGAGCATAGCAACCAATTCATGGTCTTTCAGAAGCTCTCAAAGTGCCCTTTCTTCTTTGTGTCACCAATTTAGATGGTTTCAAAAGTGAAGGAAGAGTAGGAATTTAAATGGCTAGTGCTGGGAATTTTAGAGCCATACCATTTCCACTATGTGCAAATATCTTTTTCAATCAATAGAAAAACTGGCTGCTAACATGTGAGCTGAGCCATTTTTTTTCACTCCTGGCCTTAATTACTTCATTATCCTGAACCTACCTGATTTAAACTCTTCAGCTATTTGCCCCTAAGTTTCTAGGTCTGGCTCCAGTTTGTACTTTTTAAGAAGTGTCAAGAATTTGACCCTTGCGGAGAAAAAAAAAACACTTGTGCACTGCTGGTGGGAATGCAGACTGGTGCAGCCACTATGGAAGACAGTATGGAGTTTCCTCAAAAAGTTAAAAATGGAACTCCCATTTGACCCATTGATCCTACTCCTAGGAATATATCCCAAGAAACCAGAAACACCAACCAGAAAGGATATATGCACCCCTATGTTCATAGCAGCACAAATTACCATAGCTAAGATTTGGAAACAACCTAAGTGCTAATCAATGGATGAATGGATTTGAAAACTGTGGTACATATACACAATGGAATACTATGCTGCTGTAAAAAAGCAGGAATTCTTACCATTTGCAATGGCATGGATGGAAGCCAGGCTGCT